CAGCATGGCAAGGTGAGTTTCGTGGCTGCGACTTTACTTGGTGCGTGTACAGTTGTGTGTGCGGTATATACTTTGTGCGAGTACAGTGTGTGTGTGTGTGGCTGTGGCTGCTCATTTTATCTGTGTGTATGGGCGTGTGTGTGTGTGTCCTAGCTGGTCCGCCCATCGTGGCCTGACTGTGTCGTGCTGGACCTTGTATGTGTGCGTGTGTGTGTGTGTTTGCGTGTGTGATGGGAGCAGGCGAGAAACTCACGTTGTCGCTGTTGCAGCGCTTTGGAATGCCCCTGCGTGTGGAGTTGGCCACGCTCCTGGTGGGCCCGAGATGCACCTGCGCTGCGCTGCTGGCACTGCTGGCACTGCTGGCACTGCTGGCACTTGACTCCTGGTATGTTGTGGCCACATGCAAGGTGCAGTGTGCGCGTGTGAGTGACTGTGTGTGTGTGCACGTGTGTTTGCGTGTGCATGTGACTTTGTGTGTGTGTGTGTGCGTGTGTGTGTGTGCAGGTGATGATGTTGAGCTCATGATATATCTTGTGTGTGTCGACACAGACCGGGGGCTTGTGCGGGGTGCCACTGCTGCTGGCGGCCCGGCGTTGCTCGGCTTCCAGCCTCTGCCGGTTCATGTGCTGGATGAGCTCCTGCGGCGGTGGTGGAACAGCAGCCAGGGCATACGTGTATTTGAAGCACAAGGTGAGCAATACGTGTGTGGTGCGTCTTTTGCCGTTGTGGGGAAATGTGGAACGCTTGGAGGTGTGTCTGTCATCTGGGTACCATGTGTGTGTGTGTACGGTTGACTTACTTTTCCTGTGCAATGGCCCATGAGCCTGTCCTTCCAGGAGTAGATGTGGTCCGGAGGGAGCTGCTTCTTCTTGCTCACCGTGGGCCGCACATTCTTGCTCACTGTGGGCTGCATTGTGGCGATGGCTGTTGTGCGCATGCTGTCAAATGCGTCCTCAGTGACACCGACGCCTGCAGCCGTGCTCGGCTGGACCTGTGGGTTGGTGCCTGGGACCTGCATGGTGGCCGTGGTTGTGGCCGTGGTTGTGGCTGCTGAGGAGGAGGAGGAGGAGGAGGAGCCCTCTGCCACGGTGGCGTCCACGGGAGAAGGGACGGCCAGCCGGACCCGCGTGTTCTGTGGCCGCTGAGCACGTGGGGAGCTTGGAGCTTGGGACGGCATGACGCCCTCTTCCTGCTGCTGTTCCTGCTGCTGCTGTTCCTGCTGCTGCTGCTGCTGCGGCTGCTGCTGCTGCTGCTCGTTGTCGGTGGCATTCATGCTGTTCTCCATGCTGCTGCGGCCCTTCTGTGGCTGATGCTTTCCAGAGGTGTGTAGTTACGTGCGCTTGTGTGCTTGTGTGTGTGTGTGTGTGTGTGTGTGTGTGTGTGTGTGTGTGTGTGTGTGTGTGCTTGTGGCTTTTGAGCTTTGTGGGGTTGACTTTGAAATTTGGGCGCGTGCACGCGAAGAGGAGCAAGTTTGCAAATTGCTTTGCATGGGCTTGCAAAATGCAACGCGTTGCGGCTTTGCTTGCGCTTGTGTGCTGTGGGGGTTGCGGTGCAACTGATCCCTGTGTGCACCGCTCCCTCCTCTCCTCTCTCTCTCCCCTCGTTGTGGTGTGTTGTGTTGACTGGCTGCCATCATTGACGCACACAAGCTCACTGGCACTGCTGCCGCATGTTGCGTTACGTTGTATTTGTTGGATGGTACAGGCGACAAGAGACAACAAGAAGAGTGCAGGTACGGGAGTACGAGGACAGAATGGGCCAAGTGGGGCTGAATGAGGTCCAGCACATTGCAGAGACAGCAGCTGGAAAGGGCGGGAACGACGGCAGCTTGGGGAACAGCGCAGACGAGTCACGATGACGAGGGACGGAAGAGTTGCGAACAGAGTGGGTGCCACAACAGCGACATCCGAGAGAAGTCAGGAGAACAGCAGGCAAAGAAGAAAGAAGGGAAGGTGCAGGAGGCTGGTGTCAGACCGATGACAGCAGCAGAGGCAAGGGAAGCAACATTAAGGATCAGCACCGGCAGCCGGAGGAGGAGGAGGAGGCAAGGAAGAGGATGGGGTGGTGGGAAAGGAAGAGACAGCAGAGACGTGGAGACATGGCAGCGAGAGACAGGCGAAAGGAGGACAACGGGCTTGGTTGGCATGCACGAGTGCGTGAACAGGGGTGACTGGCTGGGTGGTTGGGCTTGTGGAGACGTATCGGTGGCGCTGGTGGTGGTTCCTAGTTTGCTGGACGTGGTGTTGGTGTTGAGGTGGTCGGGATTACTTAGTCGGGACTCGGAGTCGGACTCGGGCTCGGCATCGCTGAAGCAGAAGAGGTCGTCGTTTGATGTTGTTGACCTGCATGCCGTTGCCGAACGCGCGGTGTGGACCTGCAAGTTGGCGACCG